AAATATGAATTTATCATTTTATTCAATTCTTAGTTTACATTTTAAAAAAAATAATTTGTTATCAATATAAAAAATTATTGGAACAATCCGCGACTCGCGACCTATATGGGCTCGACCCGGATGGGCGGGAGGGCCTGGATTGTAGTCCAAAATTTGTGGGCAGACCCGGAACCGGCCCCGAACCCGTAGCGGGCGGGATTTTTTTTACGCGGACCGTTACCGGGCTCATATGTTGGTGGGCCGACCGGGATTGACACCTCTAGCTCCAAGGCAAATGTATAGCCGCCTGAATTCTCCGTCATACCCCTCTAAATTTTATTAGTAATCTATCATTACAGTAGCCACTGTTATGAAATACAATGTTCTTGACACCATTTTTTCTTTATTTAATGTAATAATTTTATAAATTATTATCATATTTACGTTACTGTTACTTATGGAATAACTATTTTGAAGGTGGAAAGAAGGCGTTAAATTGGCTGGTACTATTTCACCCTTGGCGTTTGAAAAGAAAATTGACATTTTGTCTTGAATTAAATGAGCAACTGACGGTAAGTAAATAAAATGACTTTTTGGCAATAAAAAGTGAAAATGTCAAAAAATGAATGAAATGTAAGGACGTTTTGTACAATAATATTTAAAGGTAGGAATTTTTTGTACTATTTACTCTGATTTTTTGTATTGAATTAACGGAGCAACTGACGGTGAGGGGATAGAAGGATGTTTTTGGCAATGAAATGGGGAAATAAGTGTGAAAATATCAAAAGGATAATTAGCACATAATGTCCTTATCTTTAATTATTATTTTGAAAAATGTTCTTACCTTTTATTTTTTAACATTTTCACTCTTATTTCCATATTTCATTGCGCAAAAAGTCAATTTTCATCCATTTTCTCAATTAAAAGCCGTGAAATGATGAATATGTCATTCTATTTAAATAAAATAAAAAGAAAAAGAAAGAATTAATTAATTAATTGCAACCATAGTCTCAATTTTTTTAAAAAAAGTGGAAATGAATCTCAAGTAAATTATTAAAAAATGAAAAATTAATTTTTTTTTATAAAAAGAGTGCAAATAAGTGCCAAATAAATTATTAATTAGAAATTTAAAAAAAATTAAAAAGTGCAAAGAGTCCAAAATAAATTATTAAAAGATTAAAAATTTAAAAAAAATAATTTTCTTTATTTTAAATAATGGAGTATTTTCATCATTTCACAATTTTTTTATATTAAGAAATCAGACAAATATGTATATAAAAGATGGTTTGCACAATCAAAAGTATAATTAAGGGTGAAAATGCAAAATAAAAATAAAAAAAATTAAAAGATAGAGACATTTTTCACAATAATAGTGAAAATATGGATATTATGTGCTAATTACCCTTTTAATAATTTTTTTGGGGACTCGTTTGTACTTTTTAAAAAAAATTGGGACTATAATGTAATTAGTTCTTTTTTATTTATTTATTTAAATAGAATGATATATTCGTCATTTCACAACTTTTAGCTGAAAAATGAATGAAAAGAACCTTTTGTGACATAAAATGCGGAAATAATTGTGAAAATGTCAAAAAATGAAAAATAATGACATTACGTGCTAATTACCCAATGTCAAAAATGAATGATAATGATGATTTGCACAATGATATTGAAAGGTATGAACGTTTTGTGCTAATTACACTTTATAAGAATGTGTGGTTAAAAAAAATTTTAAGTTTACGTGTAATAATATTTCATTGAATAATGTGTGGTTAAAAAAATAAAAAGATAAAAAATGTATTTCGAATAAAAATGGATCCCAAAGTTGAGCTTACTACCATACTATCTCCTAGCACCGTCTTAATCACATCTCTCTCTACCTCACCGTCTTATTTTTCTAGGAGAAAATTTTTCTCTTTATAATCAGGCATTAAATATCCGAAATCATAATTGTCAACTTTTGAAAATTTTGTCGGTCTCCTTCAGTAGTGTTTACATTACACAACTCCAAGAAACAGACGTTATTTCGAAAATAACAATATAATAATTATTATTTTTTTCTAAACCCTTGTTTTGTGTTCTTTTTCGAATAATATCACCGAAAACAAGTAATTTTTTTAACTTATAAGTAAAAATGAACATTCTAAACATGTTTAGAAACAAAGATAAGACGACATCTTCTGAGTGTAAAATTTTAAAGGTGAGGCGATTAAATATAGTAACGCGTTTCCATTATTCCAAAGGAAACTCACAGGAAAATACCCATGAAGATGTAGCAATTTCAAACACAGTACAGACAGCTTCATTAATGTGAACACGAGAGGGGACCCATGCTTGCACAGAAACTTCATAGTACATACACCAATCTCGTTATAAATTCCCACCAAAATTCTTCTATTTTATAGCCGAACAATTTTTATACATTTCTACTGAATCTCGTTCAAGAAAATGATGAAGGCAGAAAGAAGGGGTTTGATTATGTTTAAGCACTTAATCAAAAGACTGCAGATTCTACTTAAATTCTTGCTCTCCTGGTTGCCAGATCTCAATGCTGTTGAGTTTGAAGAAGTGGAAGACAGTGGGACAGTACCGGACGACGTAAGGGAAGGGCATTTCGCCATTGTTGCAGGGAAGAACGAGGAACATGGAGCACAGAGGTTTGTTGTTGAATTATTTCTTCTTAAGCATCCTGCATTTTTGAGGCTGCTGGAGTTGTCTGAAGAGGAATATGGATTTGAACATAAGGGTGCTCTTGTACTTCCTTGTAGAGCTGATGAATTGCAAGAGATTCTGCAGCAGATAATGTAACTGATTTTTTCTAGAGAAATAGAGCAAAAGAAGAGTCAGTAAATGACATTTTTACAAAATAAAATGAAGTGAACACTTTATATGTTCTGTAATACTATAAAGAAATGTTTGATATGAAAAAATTTATTTTATCTTGCATTATACTACTCGCAAAGAACATTTTTGCTGGTATCTAATGGTGCAACCACTGGCCAATGTACCACGAAAAAGAAAGACTCGTTTCGTAGAGTTTATGTTTTTGCTGCTGTTTCTTAAAGAGGAAGCTCTTTTAGAGATAAAGTATTTTCAAAAAATTATTCAAGCAGGTTCAAGAGGAGCTTCTTAGTTTTACGGGGGTGTCATCAACAAAAATTTTGATGAATTTTAAAAGATTATAAATCTTAATGAATTTCGTAAAATTGTTTTCACAAATTTCATAAGAATATCATCACATGTGGTGAAATTTCAAAAAAATTGGTTATATGTATTTTTAAACTTGAAATCCATCCAAATCTTTTAAAATCCATCTATTAATTAAATCTTCATAAATCCACTACTTATTGAGGATACCTAAATTTTAAAGGATTTTATTGAATTTCATCAAAATCTCAATCCAGGACACCTAAGTTTAGAAAAAAAATTTAAAATTCATCACAATTTCAATTGAAGAACAATTTTTTACTTTTCAAAAGTTTGTCAAATGAGTCTTTAACATAATTGCACTATTTAATTAATATTGAATATCAAATTTTATAAAAACTTTGATGTTTAAAGATAAGCGTCCTTCAATTTCACTCTCTATTTTGGCTCTGCCCGACCCTCACTTGCTTCGTAGTGTCTTTTAAAGTTGTGTCTCATTCCACGACAAAATACAAATGTAGTCTCATTAAATATCTCATCCTATACTTAAAGGACCTTTCTATAGGTACAGGAACTTGAAATTCCTGTACCTACAGGATACACACAACACTTGGAGGGAAACATTTTTTTTTTTTCAATATTTTACATGTGGGGTCCACATCATGTGAGGAGGGATTCAAAAATCTGTGAAAATTCTGGTAAAAATTCCATGTACCTGTAGCTTAATTCATACTTAAAACACATGATTCTATATTCAAAGTTTTCACTTGATCATTCTTTGCCTACAGTTACGGGATCAGTAAAATACCCTACCCACGTGGCACTCAAGATTGCTAATGGTTGATTTAAGGACAAAGTACCAGAAAAGTTATGTAGGTATGATGGCAAGTTTTCTACTCAAGAGTATATGGTGCTTATATATTTGGATAATTTTTCTTGTATATTAGGGGTGTCATAATTGTGTCCATAATAGACACATGACACCCCACCATTGAAGAGTGTGTTGGCCCACCAATACACTTTCCAATGGTGGGGTGCCATGTGTCCATTATGGACACCATTATGGCACCTCTAATGTACTTGTAGCACTTTCCTATATATTTTATCTTGGCTTGCCGACCTTGTGGGTGGGAGGTTGCTCAGGTGACCGCGGGAGCTTGACGGGCTGTTCGTCACACATGGTATCAAAGTGGATTCGCTCTGAATGTTGCATTGTTGTTTACGGAAGACTGATGGCGTGCATTCTTGTGAAAATGATTTTAGGACCGTCAAAGATGGGGACAGAGCCACAAGATGCATGGCAAGTAGTTGACAAGCAAACAAAATTGATGATGGGAAGTTTTGGAGGTAATGGAAGTAAAGGCATGCGTTGCCCAATTGAGATGATCTACATGGACATTTGTTTTGTAGAGCATGGTAAAGCATTGCCAAGGAAATTATAAAGTGGAGGCATTTGTGTCAATTGCTTCGACATGCACTGTGACACTACGAGCAGAAGAGCCGTCCATCTGAGGAACCAATGTAGGGGCATGGAGTGAAAATTGGTGTCAAATGCGGTATATACAGGTTACAGTGGGAAGAGGTGCACGGGACATTGTAAATGCCCGTCCATCAGGGAGATGGTGTCACAATTGTAGAGAATTTTAGTACCTAGTAGCATAGAGGGGAATGCAATGCGAAAGTTGCGCAAAGATGCGAGGCACATGATCCGCTACGAAGGCGTTAGTGGATTGAGTGGGGGAGTGAGTCATGGGATCAATGAACTCCCTTTCTCATGTGGCACGGTAAGATTGCTAATTGTGGGTTTAAGGCTAAAGCACCATAAAAGTGCACTAATCTTGTCCATTATGTAGGTATGATCGCAAGCTCCCTACCCAGGATATATTGTGTTTAAATATTATATCTTAGCTTCTCAGCCCGTGTGTGTGGGAGGCTACCCCGAAGAATTGCGGGAACTTAGGGGTTGGACGGGTGATCCGTCACACTTCGCTTCCTTTATCGAAAGGTGATGATCAACTATATAATTTTCTCAATATCTCAGCCTTCGCTTCCTTTAAAATAATTGAACAAATGTTAACCAAATTAAATCAAACTCTCTCTCTTTCAAGTTTCGACTTAGGATTTAGAAATTCACATTCAAAGTTTAATGATTTATGATAAATAAATATATTATGTTAATCATTTCGTAGAATAGAACATTAATAAGGTTAAATTCACCAATGGTCATCCAATTTTATACTTAGTGTCACCAATGCCATCCAATTTGATTTTGTTTAATCATAACCACCAAACTTTATATTAGTGTCACCATAGCCACCAAATTTGATTTTATTTTATTATGGTCACCCAATTTCATATATCGTTTCACCATGATCACCTAATTTTATATAACGTGTCACCATGACCACCCAATTTCTCTTCACCATTTTCATTAATTTTAAAAGGTGTAAAACCAAAACTTTTTATTATATATAAAAAATAAATTTTAAAAAACAAAAATAAAAGTTTTTTTAAAATTTTAAAGACGTCTATTTTAAAATAAGTTTTTATTTTATTTTAGAACTTTTTTTAAATATTTTTTATTTTATTTTTTAAGGAATTTTTCTAAAATAATTTTTTATTTTATTTTATTTTTCTAAGTAATTTTTTATTTAATTTTAAAAATGTTTTTTAAATAAGTTTTTAGTTTATTTTATTTTTTAAGGAACAAATTTTAAAAATAAGTTTTTATTTTATTTTATTTTTCTAAGCAACTTTTTTAAAATAAGTTTTTATTTTATTTTTTTAAAAAATAATTTTTAATTTAAAATATTTTTTTAAAATTTATTTAATATATAATTCAAAGTTACCGTTTTACCCATTTTTAAAATTAATGAAAATGATGAAAAGATGTTGGATGATTATGATGAAATGATATATTAAAATGAATTGACCATGATGAAACGTTATATGAAATTGGATGACTATGGTGAAATAAAATCAAGTTGGGTGATCATAGTGATACCAAATATAAAATTCGATGGCCATTATTAGTTTTAACCGAACATTAATATGCTCAATCCCGTTAATTTTGGAGTTCGAGTCCCACTAAATTTTGAGTGCCCAAAACAAAACCATTTTCAACAAATTATATTCTCAACAAACCCTTCTCATATATATTAAATGGCTTAGTATTATATATATTTTTATCCATATGAATTCAACGTATCACCATTGATTGCAAGTTATTGAACCCATAATTATTAACTTCCCCCTCTTTTTTTTTTTCCCGCAGATTGAGGTTGAAGAGTAACCAGAAAACTGAAAAGGCCATGCCATGATCACTTAAGCAGCTTAACACCAGTTATCTTGGGGTTAAATAACATACACCGGCAAAAATTTATATTGTTCTTCCAAACCCAAAACTGTGAGCAGTCTCCACGAGGTTTCTTGCGAAAACATCTATATTTTTCTGAGTTGATTCATCATAATGTGTTCTCGTTCAAGCCAGTGATAGGAAGTGTTGTCAAATGATATCCTGTATTTTGCTGGATCAGGTGGCATATACCATGCATAGATTTTACATTTGGAATACTCTCTAGGGGTGGCACAGCCGCTTCGTCAACAACCATAATGTGAACCCCAACAAGAACAGGACTGGTGGCAAGGGGCAATGGTTGTTTCCAACCAGGTTTTGAAACTGAGCCTCTTTAATTAAATGGGTTCATATGCCGCGACGCAAAGAATTCTGATAGACAACAATATATATAAAAAAAAAAATACGAGAGTCAACATATCCAAATATCAAGAGAGATGTTCCAAGCCACAGAGTTTTACTTCAATTTTCTTAGGGGGAAGGGAATGTGACTGAGAAGAGGGGGTGAGAGAATTAGAATAGTCTATTCTTTAGGGAAAGTTCAGAACTCATAGAGCAGCTGGAAGCCTAAGGAAAATAGACCGGCCAGTTGAAGTAGTACGAGTCTCGTACTTCTCTGTCCATCTGATTCCACTGCCAGAAGGGAAAAAATAAACGAAATGAGATAAATGAGCTTATATCACACTGCAGAAGGCGCCAGAGGCCATGATAATGTTTTAGAACATGAGATATCCGTCTCCCTTTGCTTTTATTCAAGAATTTGAAACTCAAATAGAGTTAATGAGTACCAGAAATTTGTATGGTTGTTTCTTTTCACGTGCTTTCTTCCAATGATATTGCTCATATAGCATAGCTTTGTCATGCCAACTGCAGATTGAAGTCAAATGTGCAACATGAGGTAAAAAGCAAGCCAAAAGCATTCATGGAACTTCGACGTAAAAAGTAGGTAGGAAGGTCCTGAAGTAACAAAAACAGTATATCCAACTCAAAGCATATATCTTCTACAAGTCTGAAAGACCAAGAAAGTGGGTACAAACGCATAGCAAGATCCAAATTAGAAACAGAGAAATCAGAAGAAAATCTTTTAAGAATCAACATAAACAACAAACAAAACATCAGAAGAGGAAGATGTATTCTGCCACCCTCATACTCTGGGCTAACCAGAAGGGTCAAAGTGGATTCTTGTGCTCACAATAGTCTTATATCTCCCTGGCAACTATCAAATAAATTGCAATAGTGGAGCCTGGCCACTGCAAAGAACATACTTCCAGTTCTTTCCCACAAGCCATTTTAATATTCAGTAGTTTTTCCATATCATAAACTTAAGATGTACATTACCCAAATATTCAGTGGCATTTGAGCATCATTGCATGGATCTAAAATGAGCCCAATTGATATGCATCTTCTTGTTAGAAAATTGAACCATCTATATTTGAAGCAACTTATCAGCCAATAATTGCTCAAAGTGGGAAGAAGTCTAGTAAGTGTGCTACCTAAAATATATAATCTGTATCCTATTCATAGAAAATTTGAGTACTCATTAAATGAGAGAAAGAGGGAGGGAGGGAGGGTGAGAGAAGGCTAAAACAGTAATAGCTCGATGTTCTCATTTTAGTAATATAAAAGAAAGAAGGATTTTCATTTTGAAGTAAAAACAATTTGAAGATTGATCCCTCCCTTCAATCCTCATACAGCAAACAAATCTCTTGTGCTGCAAATTTAGCACATTCTCTTCTTCAGCAAAAATGTGAAAAGCTGCTCCAGTGATAAGGCACTTTCTTGCCCCTCCACTAAATGGGTTGGAATGCCGTTACCGTATGCCTAATCTATGGAAATAGTTTCTCTTGCCCTTACATCTTGAATATCGAACATGGAATGGTGAGTCCAGTGAGGCAGGCCAAGTGGACAAACTTTTTAGGTAAAAACTCAGAGAGTGCAGATGAATACATATAACAGGAAGAAAATAAATAGCAAAGAACCATGGGTCACAAAACGAATACTCATGGCCAGAGTTCTCAATCATTTCAAAAACAAATAAGATAAATTTTTTTTTTTTTAATAACCGTGGATGTCCGAGTCAGCTTGCTCGCACCTCAACTAATCCCAAGGGGCCCTAAAGTTTACGGTCGGGTATTCATCTCAGTGGCCCTAAGGGTGCTTGAACTGGTGACCATTGGAGAGCAAACTCAAAACTTGACCAATTGAGCAACCCCTCAAGGTTAACAAATAAGATAAATTTAAAACGTTAAAGGCATGAATTAATTTAGAATCCCACAAAAGTTAAAGGAATAAGCAAAAGAAATGGAGAAGTAAACATATAGTAGTGGCTTGAAATATTCACCTTGATGCATGATAATCCAATGTTAAACAAATTTCCTTTCTGGTTTTCAGGACTCTTGACAGCATAAAAATTGAAAGAGATATTCAAGGCACTATCCCGAAGAAAAATTCTTATCATCCTCAACAAATGCCACAAACCCGGATAGTTATGCATCTTAATTCTAACGTATGCTTAATTAAGGTTATATGTTACGGAACTTGGTACCAGAACTTCCAAATATAGCATCTAACATTTTGTTGACATTCACAAGAAAAAAATTGCTCTTAATATTAAAGGGAACCTTTTTAGGGATTTGAACTTCGCAAGGCCATCACACTGAAATTTGAGCATACATAGCACAGTGATCAAGATCCGATTCTAATATTTGATGTCATTCACAAAAGCACTTCTTGAGAAAGTTAACATTTTGGGAAATTCGAACCTGTGTTTTGAAGGGATAGACTGAATAACATTCTCTCAATCTTAACGTCAACAAATATTATTACAAAGACAGAAAAAGGAACAGGAATATCTCTGTCAGGAATGAAGAAAGTTTTACATCAAAATTTTGCAACTTAATTGCTCCCAAAAAAAAAAAAAAAAAAAAAAAATCATTATTGAAGAAATATCTTTTTCTCAAAATTATTAGGGTAAAATAAACATGGGCAGTGCATGTATATGCACAGCATAGGTGTTTGCAAATTTACATTCAAGTGATTTTTTTAAAGATATAATTGCGTGTTATCATGCAGATATGACAAAACGTGGAAATCAAATACTTGAATTCATGCTCTTAGTTCTTACAATCAAACACCTGCATAAAAATCAACTTTTTTCCAAGATCACATCCCAAACTAAAAAAAATTAATATATATATATATATAGAAATTAACGAAAACCCTAAAATATAAATTACACCAGTACATAAATATATAAATAGGTAGATACATATAAACAGTGTATGCGAGAATAAAAGCGAGTGAAAGTTACTTGAATTGGTTGGAAAGTTGCCACATGTAAGGATTAATCCAGGTGAGGGCGGAGAAAGCGGCAGACCCGATCCAAATGTTGACGAAGCGGTCCGGGTCGGAATGTGGAACCCCCGGGTCGCCGCGATAAGCGTTCCCAAAGTACTTCTCCATTCTACTATTCTCTCTTCTCTCTCGGAGTGGGTGCTTCTGTGTGTTTTCTCGAGTTATCCGATTGTTTTTATTTATGAGAAAATTTCATTGGACACCACTTTACTTACGAGTTTATTTCATATTGGTCACCCAATTTTAATTTATTTTAATTTAATCACCACCTTGTGCTGTGATTTTAATGTGATTATTCAATCAATAACCTTAACAAAAACTATCGAGAAACTCTCTAAATATAAGATACAAGATATTCACTTTTCTAAAGAGTCAATAATATTGAATTTCATGAAATATTTTGTTGATAAATAGGTAATAACTAAATTAATATTTGACTTTTATTAAATAATTTTTTTTATTAACATTTAATATTTGGCGAACAGAGGGTAAGAGCCCTGAGGTGCAACAAATTTTAATCCCTCAAGAACATCAATACATTCCGCGGTGAGTGGCGAAAATTTCTACAGAAGGATTTTGAGGACTAAATGTGCAATATATCACTAAACGGTGAGGACTGAAGACATGCTTGATAAAAATAATCGAACTGAATTGAATGAAAATAAGCTAAAATCTTTTTATCGTTGCAGGTAATTCGGGTAAATTACAGTAATCGTTTTCTTAAACTTTATGGTTACAACTTCTGTGAACAAACATTACATGATGTCGTTTTCTTACTTAAAAAAGAATGAGTCTTTTTCTCGACTATAAGATCTTGACACTAAAGAAGAGTTCGATCCAATGCTAATGTCTTGACAGTTGATTCTTCATTTGTACCCTGCCTTACCAGAATGGAAGAACTTGGACCACCATGAGTATCGAAATATTTTTTGGATTATTTCTTCATTCAGAATTCGAAGTGCCCCTGGGTGAATAACAATCTTGATAAAATTTTTCATTTGGTTAAATCCTCGGGAACTTGCAATAATATGTTTCGAAGTTCACTCGCTTCGCAAGGTATGGCCAACACACCCTGCTGCTCAAATCCAAATTCTCTCTCTGCTGCTTCCAGTAACCTTACAAAAGGAGGATAACACAAATAATCCAATGCAACCGAGAATTTCTTAGGCTCCCCATTGCCAATAGCAATCACTGAAAAATGTCCACCCTTTGCATTATCAGATTTCCAGATTCTGCAGCAATTTTTGGTTCCTTGACTGAGCAAAAAGATTACATAATTATGCAGTAGTCTAATGGCAAGTTTAGCTCCGATAAAGGTGCTAGATTTTCCGTGGTTAGCACCCAAAGGTGTTCTGTGTTTTGTGCTTCTTGTTTTCATTGCTCGTTCTTTCTTTTTTGATTTTTGAAGAACCATTGACAGTTATATATATATAGGCGAAGGCGAATTCCTGAATTAATGGATAGGAAACTTGGTTTACCTTCTTTATGTGTCATCGAAGGACAAATTGCAGTAGTATCTAAACTGCATCACACTATCAACTTATTTATTTAGCCATTGATCAGTCCTTTTAGCTCTAGTCAAGTTGCCTTCTATCTAAGGGGACATGATGGAAAATTATGCCACAGAAGGGGTCATGTGGTGATGAATAGAAGGCTGATTATCAGCTGAAAATCTTATCCAATTTTCCAAGGGTCGGATATCACTGGATATCTTGTTTATAATATTATTCAATCATGTTCAATACTACTATCAAACATTCATTTTTATCATATTTGTATCATCAAGCCATTACATTTAAATCTTGTGTTTTGACTTAAGATTTCAGATTTCATCTTAAAAGATAACCTCGTTAAAAGATTCAGTTTGTTGAATATTTATTTTATTTTTATTTGAGTTGGGATTATACCATTGACATGTCCTATAACACGATGGCTCATTTGTGCACATCAATCTTGGAATTCAAATATTAATTTGAGATTCAGACATATTGAATTATTCGTTTGATCTTGTTGAGTTTTGATACCATATTAAGATTTGGAGTTACATGTACCGTATACGATTATTTAAATATGTACCCTTAAATCACATATAAATTTACTGAGTAAATTTTCGTCCCTTCTCTAACCATTCAACTTTGAGAAGAAATGGTTCGATGTTTTTAGAGTCAGCAAAAATCTGGGTTCAGTTCCAATCTTGTGACCGCTTATATTTATGAAAATTTCTTGATTCAATTGATAATTTGATATCATGCATGCTAGGGCCGGAAGACTTTTGAAGTTCATGCACAGAAAATCATTAGAAAGGTGCATGCATTTAGAGGAGATTTTCATTGTGAAGTTGCAATCATATTACGAAGTTGAAAGATGTCAAGCTGGCTCTTTATCCCTAATTCCTCACAACCACAAATTAAAAATAACAAATTAAACATGGTTCTTGATATAAAACATGACCTTTTAAAAGTAAAACAATTCATGTTCGTTTTAATAATGTTGTATCAATATCTTATGAAGACAAGAGCTACTGACCTAATTAGGTCCCTGTTTGACAGCCATATTTGTGTATAATGAGTTTTTGAATGAATAATGCTTCTCTTACATTATCTTACATAGTAAGTTTGACAGCTTTTTGTCATCTTATGTGTGTTTCTTTGGAAATATTTTCTAAGATGAATAGAAAAGAT